TCTCATATTTTCAATTTTTGCCAGATCTCCTCCACTAGACCGTCTCCCAGGACTCAAGGCTGCTGGTTTGTCTCCATCTCTTCCCTGTGTTTCTTTACTGTTTCTCTCACCATTCCCCACAAATCCCATTTTAAAATTCCCAAATGAAAACAAATAAAACAAGCTGGGCGGTGGTGGCGCATGCCTTTAATCCCAGCACTCGGGAGGCAGAGGCAGGCAGATCTCTGTGAGTTCAAGGACAGCCAGGACCACGCAGAGAAACCCTGTCTCGAAAAACCAACCAAACAACAAAATTTTCCAAATACTTTTAAAGGCACCACTGTTTCTAATGCCATTCGATGAGGTCTCGTGGCCATCATTGCCTTCTCCCCAGAATCTCCTGCCTCTTCCCAGGGCCTCTGACTTCCACCACAGGACCTCTGCCTACAGTGCTTCCCCTGTCGCCTCCTCCCCTTCCCACGGCCCACCCTCACTCTGCTCCAGTAGGCCACTGCGTTCTGCCTCCTCTCTTCTTCCCCTAGCCTCCTTCCTTAAAGGACATTTTTCATATGACTCCTTTGTCCTTGTACACCGCCTTTCAGGGGCTCCTGACTGTTCAGCCTTCTCCGTCCTTGCTTTCTTCCTTGTGCCTGGTGACCTGGACAGGCTCCTTCCTTTTTTTCTTTTCAGCTCATGCTTCCTCAAACTTTGTCCTCCTAGTCGGTGGCCCTCCCCCATCACTGCTTTGCCAAGACCGCTCCCCCCTCCCCGACAGCTTCTTGGATGTCAGCTCCTTCTTGAGGGCTTTCCTCACCCCTCCTCTTCCTCAGCTAAGGCATGTGTCTTTCTTCCTAGACTCTGTGCCTTTTTATTGGGCTTGTGTGTGCTCTTGTGACTATGGACAATGTCCTTCTTTCTTTCTGGAGAATTATTCAAAGACAGAAATTATACATATCTGCAAATTTTCCAAGGCATCCATTACCTCTGAAAATTCTCTCTGTATCCCCAGCTGGCTGCTAGGTTGCTCTATTTTCGTTCTAGATTCACATGATTACTTGAGAATGCATGCAGTCAGTGGAAAATGCTAGAAGAATGGGTTCAGGGGCTAGACACCGTTAAGTTTGGGGCTTGGTTTTGTCTTCCAGTAGTTAGAAATTTAGGGCATTTTCTTCACTTCCTTGAATCTTCCATAGTAAGGTTTAGGTCTATTTAAACAATAAATAGGGGGCTAGAGAGATGGCTCAGCTGTTGAGAGCATTGACTGCTCTTCTAGAAAACCTGGGTTCAATTCCCAGCACCCACTTGGCAACTCACACTGTCTGTAACTCCAGTTCCAGAGGGTTTGGCACCCTCATACAGACATACATGCAGGCAGAATATTAGTGAACATAAAAATAAATAAATCTTTAAAGAAATGAGTAAATAGAGCTGGGGCACTGCCAACACTTAGGAAACTGAGGCAGGAGAATTGCAACTTCAGAGAGAACTCGTCTCACAAACAAAGCTTATTTCTTTTGATCTTCTAGGGAGTATAAATAAATGGTATAGAATCTGCCAGATGGATAGCCAAGAAATACTAGTTGTGGCTTGTATATAGTAATGCTTGCCTTTAATCCTAGTACTTGGAGGTGGCCTCAGGGTAGAGGCAAGTAGATCTATCTGAGTTCTGGGCCAGTCAGGGTTACATAGGGAGACTGTCTCAAAACAAAAATAAACACAAATGAAATACTAGTTGTGTTATTTAGTTTTCTGTTGCTTTGATAAAACACCATTACCACAGAAACGTCTAGAAGAACGAGCTTATTTGGGCTTACAGTTCATGATGCTTAGCAAGTGTGAGGCATGTCAGCAGGGGCCAGGAAGCAGGGAGGCCACCACACCTTGTTTTGTCTTGTTTTGTTTTGATTTTTGGTTTTTCAAGACAGGGTCTCTCTGTTGTTTTGGAGGCTGTCCTGGAACTTGCTCGGTAGACCAGGCGGGTCTCAAACTCAGAGATCTGCCTGACTCTGCTTCCTGGGATAAAGGCATGTGCCACCATTTTGGGTTTATGCTGTCTTTCTTTTTTTTCCTCTTTCTTTCTTTCTTCCTTTCTTTCTTCCTTCCTTCCTTCCTTCCTTTCTTTCTTTCTTTCTTCCTCCCTTCCTCTCTTTCTCTCTCTCTCTTTCTTTCTTTCTTCCTTTTTTTTTTTTTATAAAGGAAGACATTTAATGGGGTGGTTTACAGTTCAGAGGTTTAGTCCATTATCATCATGGTGGATCATGTCACATGCAGGCAGACATGGTGCTGAAGAGGTAGCTGAGAGTTTTACATCTTGTGCCGGCCGACAGGAAATGGTCTGTCTTGCTGACATGACTTGAGCATATATGAGACCTCAAAGTCCACCTCCACAATCATACACTTCCTCCAATAAGACCACACCTACCCCACCAAGGCCACATCTCCTAACAGTGTCATTCCCTATGGAGGACATTTCCTTTCAAACCACCACATTCCACTCCCCAGTCCCCCAAAGACTTGTAGCCATATCATAATGCAAAAATGCATTCAGTCCAACTTCAAAAGTCCCCATAGCCTATAACAGTCTCAAACTTATTTAAAAGTCTGAAGTTCAATGTCTCTTCTGAGAGTCTTGTAATCTCTTAAATGTAATCCCCTGTAGAATCAAAATTAAAAAACAGATCACATACTTACAACATATAATGGGACAGGATATGCATTACCATTCCAAAACACAGGGAAGGGACATAGTGAGGAAATACTGGACTAAAGCAAGACCAAAACCCATCTGGGCAAACTCCAAACTCTGCATCTCCATGTCTGATGTCAAAATGCTCTTCAGATCACCGAGTCCTTTCAGCTTTGTAGACTGCAACTCGCTTCACTCCCTGTTAGCAGCTCTCCTTGGCTGGTATCCCACAGCTCTGGCTTCTTCAACATCTTGGCGTCTCCAAGGCTATCCAGGCTTTACCTTCACAGCTTCATGCAATGACCTCTCTAGTCTTCCATTCAGGGATACTCCTGACACATGCCTCAGGAGGCAAAGGTTCCATAATGCCCTTTTTTTAAATCCTTGACTCTAAAGTCAGAATCACGTGGCTGAAGCTGTCATGTTCTGCTGCTTTCTGGGGCTGGAACATAGCCTCCTCATTCAACTACATCTTCAACAGCTTTGTGTTTCCTATAGTTCTCTTCACTGTCTAAGCTTGGCTGTCTTGGGACTTGTTCTGTGGCCTCAAACTCAGAGGTCGCTAGCTTCTGCCTCTGGAGTGCTGACATTAAAAACTATGCTGTCGTTCTTATTTTTAAGTTTTGTTTGTTTGTTTTGTTTTTTTATACCTGACTCTTGTAATTGCATGGAAATTGTATGGAAAGTTCAAGTTGACAAAGCTGGTCTGTACCTGTCTTTCCCATCCCTAGTCTTCTCTGAAGTGTCTCCAGTTGTGCTAAATAGGAGTACTATATGTCCAGATGTCCAAGTCAGAAGATGTCTTCCCCTGAACATCTCCTCTGGTCCAGGTCATTGTTCTACTCTTTGGCATGGCAATACTGACAAAATTCAAAGTCTTTCACACACATCTCTGCTGCCCCCATAAGTTGAGCAATCCCTAACACACACACACACACACACACACACACACACACACACACACACCACACGAGGAAGCTTCCCCTTCTCTCCATTCTCTACCATTCTGACTTCTTTCTATGTCTTCATTTGAGCCCAGGTCCCTCTAGCTCCAGGCCCTTGGTCACACTTCCCTTTCTGACCCTCAGTGACCCTCAGTGTGGCTAACTGCTGCTGGCCCTATAGTTTAGGGCTCAGCCGTTAATGTGTCCTTGTATGGTCCTCTTTTATGGCATTCGCTGTAACCATGATTAGAAGGTAGCTTGAGTTACTGTTTTGTTCAACTTCTGCTTGATAGAGAGGGACAAAGGGATACTGCATGGGCAGGGCTCAGGTGTCTTTGTTCCCTGCGGTGACTCAGTTGCCACTCGGAGCCCCAGTTAGGAAAAGTAAAGTTTCCCTGCTTTGATAAGATTCCCGGAAAAAAAAGTGCTCTTGGCGCTCTTTGAGTTTCTTTCCTCCCAGCATCTTCCCTGTTTGTTCTCACATGACATGTCATGTCTGCCCCAGTTTGTCCATGGCCATCATGGCGGGAAACATGGTGGCAAGCGGAGAGTTCACATCTTAAGCTGCAAACAGGAAGCAGTGAGAGCAAACTCAAAATGGCATGAGTCTTTAAACTCTCAAAGCCCGCTTCCAGTGACATACTTCCTCTGATAAGGCCACACTCCCCAATGGCACTGCCAACTGGGGACCGAGTATTCATTCAGTGAGGCGGTCTCAAACCACACAGGCTGCCTGAGTGATGTCATGCAGACACGTGAAGACGCATGAACCCCTTGGCTCTGTGAGGGAAGAGCACCCCTGGCAGAGGCAAAGCAAGTAGGGAGGTTGTAGCTCTCTCTCTCTCTCTCTCTCTCTCTCTCTCTCTCTCTCTCTCTCTCTCTCTCTCTCTCTCGTCTCCCTCTCCTCTCCTCTCTCTCCTCTCCTCTTCTCTCTCTCTCTCTGTCTCCCTCTCCTCTCCTCTCCTCTCCTCCCCTCCCCTCCCCTCCCCTCCTCTCCTCTCTCTGTCTCTCTCTCAAGGACAAAGGTTAGAGAGGAGGAGATGCACTAGCCTGCACCCACGTGGACAGAGGGCAGGTTTGGGGTGGGTTCTGAAGGAAGAACTAGGAAACCAGATGTGGACTCTGTGGGCAGGAGGAAAGACTCGTTGAGCTTGCATCTGTTTTCTGTCTGTATTAGACATCAGGGTATCCTTACTAGGTGGTACTAGCTCTGTGTATCTGGCATCAGGGGCCGGGACTGTGTGAGGCCCTGTGAGTCTCGTGTGTACACGGGGTATTTACAGCTATAGGGCACCAGTGCTGGGGCAGAGAAGAAGTTTTGGAAATACAGGAGAGGTAGCCAGCGAGCCCTAAGGGAGCCAGAACCGACACTCTGTCCCTCTGCCTTGTAGGTGTGACAATGTCCGCGTGTTTAAGCTGGGCCTCTTCTCCGGCCTCTGGTGGACCCTGGCCCTTTTCTGCTGGATCAGCGACCGCGCCTTCTGCGAGCTGCTCTCCTCCGTTCACTTTCCGTACCTGCACTGCGTGTGGTAAGCGCCTGCCCTGGGCTGCTGGCATCGAACCGGTGTCCCCACTTGCTGCCGCTGGCCTGGGTGCTCCCTGCCCTGACAGGTGCACAGGTGGGTTCAGGGGAGGAGCACAGAGCCAAGCATTCTTTTTTCCTCTCTCCCGTCAGACATTTTAGAAACAATGGAAAGTAAGGTAGAGTGTTAAAACGGCTCCGGGGAGCAGGCTTAGCCAGACAACCCCACCCCCACCCCCCACTCCCCGCCCGAAGATCTAATTGTTACAGCGCACAGTGGGCTGGCAGCCTCTCTTGCAGCTCCTTAATTAGCACTCGGGAACCTGAAAAGTGAGTCTGTAACTTGAGCTCCGAGGGCTGGGTGGATGGTGGGGGAGGGGGCTGGGGACCTGTGTGATGTGAGGACAGGAAGGTTCTCAATAGGAACCACGCCTTCGGGGGCCCATGTGGCCAATGAAAGCGTGGACCTCGCAGGCCATCTAGGGACAGTCTCACCCATTCGTCTCACAGCTACAGACAAAGCCCAGGGGATTAAAGCCCATTGTTGAACATCACTCTTTGATGATAAGGAAATAGAGCATCTATATTTTGGGAAGCCAGGGAATGACTCTGAGGTTCAAAGAAAAGAAAATGGAGGTTACAAAAATCACATCAGATCCACACTCAGGAAGAGGGGGTGCAGTGGAGGAGTGGGGAGGTGTAGCTCAGTGGTAGAGTGCCTGCCTGGCTCGCACAAGGCCCTGGGTTCAAACTCCAGCAAAACAAGGAGCAAGTGGGGACAGGGAGTGGCTTTCTTCCTAGGAAATGCTTCAGCTCCAAACCGGGGACACGGCAGTGTTTCTGTCTCTGTCCTCATGGCTGCTCGATACAAAAGGTGGCAGGAGCAATGTCCTCCTGGCAGATTAGAAGCATCCAGGGAAGTTCTATCATGCTTTAACTCCATATCCAGAGCCATCTTCGGAGGGACGAACAGATCCAGTGTGGCCTGGGAATGGAGGCTCACACCTGTCTCCCAGTACCTGCAAGGCTGGGACAGGAAGTTTGCCACAAGATCCAGGTTAGTATGTTAGTATGAACTACATAGTGAGGTTCACACACACACACACACACACACACACACACACACTTCCTCAAAAAAAATTCTTTTTCCTCCTACATGCTAATGAAACACGAGGAAGAAAAGAAATCAACAGCCAGGTATGGAGGTGCACACCTTTAATACCAGCATTCAGGAGGTAAAGGAAGGCAGGCATCTGTGAATTCAAAACCAACCGGGTCTGCACAGTGAGTTTTAGGCCAGACAGTGCTACATAGTTAGACCAGGTCTCAAAACAAAACAAAAACCCAACAACAATAAAAAAAACTTTCCCTCTTCTATCTAGCTACAATTCTGTACCCATGAGCCATTCTGTCTCTAGAAAACTACAGTGGCACCTTTCTATATGTGATGTAAACTGGTTCTCTTTTAAGCCAAACTCCTGCTAGGCATGTCTAGCTAGTGAGTGGCCCCGGGCCCACATACCACCTAGGATAACTAGGAATGTGACCCAAAGCATTTGTAGATGACAATGTCCTATTGCAGTGTTAAAATGTTAGGTAAGCCTGTATATAGATCGTGCACACCCATCCCCTTTAAGACAGCAGTGTCTCATGGAGCACAGGCTAGCTCTGAACTTATTACACACATGAGGTTGACCTTGAACTTCTGACCCACCTTCCTCCATCTCTTAGGTACTGAGATTCTAGGTATGTACTACTACTCTGGGTTTATGCCCCCTGGGGGGATCGAACCTAGGACTTTGTGCACGCTAGGCAAGTATTCTACCAGCTCAGCTCCATTCCCCACTCTCTCACCCCCATGGGCATCACTTTTTATACACACACACACACACACACACACACACACACACACACACACACACACGCGCGCGCGCGCGCGCTTTGTTGCTTTCTATTTAGTACTTCATGACATGATGCTTAATAATTTACTTAGCCAACCTATTAACAGCTATCAGATTTTTTGTGTGTACAAATAGTGTGTATGTGTGTTACATACATGTGAATGCGTTTGCACAAGCATGTTCATGCATGTGAAAGCCACAGAAGGCAGGGAGTCAGTTACTTTTGAAAGACCCCTACCCAGGGCCCCCCCCCAGGAAAAAGAAAAACAAAGCCAAGCCATTGCCTAGTGGAAAAACCCAGACAGGTGTCTCACCCTCAAAACAGGATGTCTCTAATCACTATAGCAATCATAGGACCCGGATAATAATTGCTGAAGTGTGCTGGGAACTTTCATATGACAATACTAGAAAACCTAGTCCTTGGCAACTACCCTGGCCCCCAATTGTGTCTGATCACTGTAGCAATCATGAGACCCGGATACTAATTGCTGAAGCGTGCCGGGGTCTTTCATGTAGGAAACCTAGTCCTTGGCAACTACCCCTGCCCCCCCCAGATGATCTCAGCTCATGCTTAAGTAGCCAATGAAATACCTGTTGCTATGCTGATACTTATGTAACCATTAAAACTCCATAAATAGTGTACTCCCTACAAGCCCGGTATGCTCTGCACCCGAGTTGCAGTAGCATCCGCAGGCGCCTGTGTACCCAATAAATCGCCTCTTGCATTTGCATCCAGTGGTCTGGCCCCGTCCTTGGGCAGAGGACTCGGTCCGGTGCCCGGCGCTTTGATGCCGAGGTCTTACACTTTGCTCCATTGCTTTCTGCTTTCTTGCCTTGAGACAGGGTCTCTCACTGAACCAGAGACTTGCCTTTCCAGCTAGGCTAACTATCCAGCAAGCTCTTAGGATATATCTGTCTTGTTGTCCTTCAATGCTGGGATTACAGGCACACACACAGCCACACTCAACTTTCTATGTGGATGCTAGGGATTTGAACTCAGGTCCTCCTCATGTTTGCAGAACAAGAGCTCCTCCCCACGCTGCTAAATCATCTCCTGAGCTCCATATTATGTCATTTCTATTTTTTCACTTCTGTAAATAATCTGTAAAAAACATCTCTATCGATTCTAATCTGTATTGGTAAATCATAATATAATGCAGTCCCAAGTGCTGGAATTGAGACCACCATATCAGACTTTGTTTTGTTTCTGTTGGCAGTGCTGGAGAATCATTGACACTGGGCAAGTCTTCTGCCACTTCTGTTCTGAGCAGTTACACCCCAGTCACTTAACTGCCGTCTCTTAGGGCGCCTCAACCCAAATGCTCACACATGCAGGAGGTTATTAACTCTTTTAAATCGTTGTTAACCTGATAGGAAAAAAAAATTGAGCTGGGTGGTGGTGGCACACGCCCTTGATCCCAGCACTCAGGAGGCAGAGGCTGGTGGATCTCTGTGAGTTCAAGGCCACCCTGGTCTACGGAGTGAGTTCCAGAATAGCCAGGACTGTTTCAACAGATAAACTGTGTTTTGAAAAACCAAAAGAAGAAACAATTTGTTTTAATTTTATTTTTATGTCTTTAAAGATAGTGTCACTAGATTCTCTTAAATCGTAATGTGAATGGTAGCTTTAGATTGTAATCTAATTGCAGTCTTCCCTTCTAATGTTTTTTTCTCTTCAGCCATTACTGCCTATAATGGCTATCTATTTGCTGATTTTAATTAATTACTCGTTAGTTAATAATTGTTGTTTGGAGAGAGGGTACTGACTTGTAGACAAGGTTGGCTTCGAACTCACAGAGACCTGCCTGCCTCTGCCTCCCGAGTGCTGGGAATAAGGCGTGCAGCACTGTACCCAGCAAGAAGAGGTTTTTAAAGAATAAGGACAATACTCAGCCAACTCCAGCTTCTGTATCACTGGGCGCTGCATCTTGTTTCTGCTACCGTCCCCACTCTTCATCCAAACCCACTTCAAGGCACAGCTCACATAACATTTACGGTCTGTAACATTTTTGGTATGAGTTTTAGCTCTTTATCACACTGGGCAAATGTTTCCCCCAGTTTCCTATTTTTTTTCTTAAAGCACGTTAATAGTTTTGTGCCGTATTCATTTTGAATTCTGTTCTCACACATGTCTGATTTTTTCTTTATGGTCTCTGGACTTTGTGTCATTCTAAGGAAAGCCTCTTTCATCAAAGTTATGAAAATGTAGGTCTTTTGGAATATATATTAAAAGCATTAGGGGCTGGAGAGAAGGTTCAGCAGTTAGGGGCACTTGCTGCTCTTACAGAGGACCTAGTTCTGTTCCTGCACCCAGACTGAACAACCACCTGTAACTCCAGTTCCAGGGGATCCTATACCCCTTTGTGGCCTCTGCAGGTACCCGTACAGGTGTGTCCATACACTGACACAGGACCCACAAATGCATACAAATTAAAACAAACCATTTTAGAATTATATTTTAAATCTTTTCTTAAGTAATTTAAAATTTTTACATTTGTTAATTTGTGCTTGTATGTGTACGTGTGTAGACATGGGTAGATGTCAGAGGACAACTTTTGGGAGTCAGTCAGATCTTTCCTTATGCCATGTGGGTTCTGGGGTTTGAACTCAGGCCATCAGATCTGGTGGCAGTCACTTCACCTACTGGGATATCTCACGGGTCCATATTTGAAACATTTAATTCCTTTGGAATTGGGTTTCAGTACAGGGTATAAGGAAAAATCTGTCTGCCTTTAAAATATTTATTTCTTGATAAAGATCAAAATTGAAGCGTTTGACAGGTAAAGATAATTTTTTAAAAAGGATTTTCACCCTAAAGCTGCAAGCACACTTTAATATAGGATGGTTTCCGATGAAAAAAGCACAGGTTGTACTCATTGATGACGTGAGCAGGTGGGAATTGTATCCCAGGTTCAGGCACTTCTTTCTCTTTTTTTTTTTTTTTTTTTTTTTTGGCTTTTTGAGACAGGGTTTCTCTGTATTGTTTTGGAGGCTGTCCTGGAATCGGCTCTGTAGACCAGGCTGGCCTCGAACTCACAGAGATCCGCCTGCCTCTGCCTCCCGAGTGCTGGGATTAAAGGCATGTGCCAACACTGTGCAGCCTTGAACTTGTGACAGTCTTCTTGAGGTGGCTTCCTAGAGCCCCGGGGTTACGGGTCTGAGCCGCTGTGCGGTTTCAAATGGAAATGTTTTGAGTTCTAGTATGGTCTCACATGTTCAGGATTGATCATTGCCCTTCTGGCTTTGTGGGCTAGCTCATCCGTTCCCGTTACACAGATCCTCCGGGTGAAAGTGGCAGCAGGCGAGGCAGGTGGCTCCCGAAAGAAGGAGGTGTTTGCAGACGCACGGTCTGAACCCCCGTGAGGCTCACCTCTCCCGTTTTTTGCAGGCACATCCTCATCTGCCTTGCTGCATACCTGGGCTGTGTGTGCTTTGCCTACTTTGATGCTGCCTCAGAGATACCCGAGCAAGGTCCAGTCATCAGATTCTGGCCCAGCGAGAAATGGGCTTTTATCGGTGTCCCCTACGTGTCCCTCCTGTGTGCCCACAAGAAGTCACCAGTCAAGATCACATGACGGCAAGGCAGTGGCTGGCTTCTCTACTTATTTCTCTTCATTCACTGGGCTTCATTTGCTAGCAAAGATGGCGATGGGGGTTGAAGAATCGGTGTGGGTGTGTCTGTTTAAAATTCTGTTCCTTTGGGTTCTACCGGGGCCACTGTGCCAGGATGGGGGATGGAGGGCTCAGGGACGGTAGGTGTGTCACTCAGCGTCCCTTACAGGCACAGGGGCTTGCTGGGTTATGTCCGTTGTGGCAGTGGCAGAGTAGTTCTTTGGGAGACCCAGGACAGCATCTTGCTGGAGAAGGTGGCTTGCTGTAGACCCCGCCCATTCCCACGCTCTCTTGATTACACAGGAGTCAGCCCCTGGGATACATCGCAAGACCTGATATTGTGATGGAAAGTACCGGAGCTTTTCATTTGCAGGGGAGAAATTGTCCTTCAACAAAACCAAGTGGACAAAACCCACAGGGGGCTGTGGCTAAGGGGCTGCTTTGTCACGTCACCTGCACCTTTCAGCCTTCCCAGGTTTTCCAAGAGCTTGTGGATCCTCCAACCACTACCTCTACTGAGACACGGAGACTTGGCGTCAGAGGACAAAGCTGGTAACACCCTCTATGCCAAAACCTGCGCTCGGCTTTAAGCACACGTTAAATAGTGACATTGCTTCTGTTCTTCATGAAGCTCCGTAGCCTCAAACTCAACCACTCTGGTGTGAAGACTCCACACACAGTCCCTCAGCTTGCCACTCTGTGAGAGCACCAACGGCTCATTTCAGTCACCGAGGCAGCTCCGGTTTTACCTGCAGAGTGTGTGCGGAGCCTTGGGAAAGCCTTTCTCATTGGAAGCCTCCGGGATGTCGTTACCTCCAAGACTCTGACGCCATCATCCCTCTGCTGTTTCCAGGGGATGTGGGCCTCCTGCCTTTGCTCTCACAACACCTGGTGCTAACTGGTTTCTCAGGGCACCTGACTCTTTATTGTAGTCTGTCACTGCGCTCTGGTTTGCTGGTTGGGGGTCACAGGTGGGTATGAGGTGGGGTGGGTATCTCAGGGATGTTTGTGACTCAGGCACCTTTGCTCTCTGACATCCCATGGTGGGGAGTGGGGGGCTCAGGGGGTGGGAGTCACGCCACTGTTCGGAGTGTGCAGTGTTGTCCTGAATCAGGAGGAGCTCTTACCCTGGTTAGAATTTCCACAGGGTCCACAATAGAAACTGAACTTAAATTTTTTACAGGAATAGACTTCATTCTGCTTTTGTGGCCTTGAAGTTTCATAAGTCACTTGCTAGGCTATTTCTTGTCTATAGTAACAAATCTTTATGGGATATGGCTGTGTGAAGTAAGTTGTCTTTTATTAAACTTACAGCATTTACTAAATCTCCCAGGTAGCAAACACACACGTTAGTTGATTGGAATTTCCAAGGCAGAAATACTTGGTTTTGAATGAGTGTATATGTTATCTTACTATAGCTTAAATATATATTTAAAATGCTTTGAGTTAAATGTTTGTGGCAGCCTAGGAGCTCATGGGCTAGAATTGCTGCCGAGCCCTTTGGGTTTTGAGTCTACAGTTTTTCAGAGGGCAAAATCAAACCATCCTTGTTTCTGGTTTGTATTCCCAGGCATGTAGCCTGTTCTTATCTATTTTACATTACATAAATGTCCTAAAGACAATACCCAGCTGCCTGTGTCGGGAAGGGTTGGCCGGGGCTGGAGAGTTGGGTCAGCAGTTAAAGAGTACGTGTCGTTTTCCCAGAGGACTAGATTCCTACCATACACATGAAACTCACAACCTGAAACTCCAGTGCCCGCTTCTGATATCCAAGGGCACCAGGCTTACATGCCATGCACATACACACAGTCGGGCAAAACCATTCATACACGTAAAGTGATAAGCTGGGTACATTAAAAACTTGGCTGTAGGAGAGGATTTTTAGATGCGAGTTTTAATTTGTCCCAGTGCTGTTGCTGTCAAAGTCAGGGAAGAACCGTTTCTTTTTGTCAGGAAAAGGACTTACTGCCGACACCCCTAGGAACAGGGATAAAAAATTATCAGTGGATGTGCTTGAACATGATTGGGTGAAAGGAATGACACCCGACTCAGCAAGCAACTTCTCCACATATGTGCCTCCATACCTGGCTTGGGATGGAGCGTGTTTGGAGGCAAACACTTTTTTTCTTCTGTCTGTGACAGAGCTTTACTCCTCTGGCATCAATACTCACTATGTAGCCCAGGCTGGCCTAAGACTGATGGTGAGCCCCCGGATTCAGTCTCTCAAAGGCTATGTGTGATTACAGGAGTGAGCTACTACACCCATCTGAAACAGAAATCTGTAGCTTGCCAGCAAGGAACTCGACATATATGAATCTAATTTTGAGCTGGGCTTTGGGCATTGTTCACATTTACACTGCAGCTCCTAGTGTTCAGGAGGAGTTGGGATGCTAAAGAAAAGCAGCAGCAGAAAAAAAAAAAATCGCTCCTGTCCTTGTTGCCTTACAGGATCCCTTGCCAATATTTTGGTTTTCCGGGTGTGTTTCCTTCCTACCCTTTCTGCCCTACTTCAGCTATGATTAGATGTCATTTAGACCATTTGTCCTTGAATGGAGTCGGAAGGCCAGCGTTTTCGTGGAGAGCTGGTGTGGGGTACACTCAAGTTGGCTGTTTCTTGAATGCTGAGTGCTGGACTCTGAGCTCGATACTGGAGCTGCCTTGTCCGCGAAGCCTGACTCGAGCGGCCCCTAGGACAGGAACTGATTTCAGCTTTGCCATGCAACACTTCACGTTCGGATCTCCGAGTCCCGGTAAATGGCTGTTAAAGACTCGACCTCGTGGTTTTAATGTGTTGAGAGTGATAACAAAAACAAACAAACAAACAAACAAACAAAAAAACCCAAACAAGACAAGCCGAAGCCGAGTTCACTACTGGGTGTGCGGTCCAGAGTCTCCTCCCTCCCGGCAGAGTATGCGGTCCAGAGTCTCCTCCCTCCCGGCAGAGTATGCGGTCCAGAGTCTCCTCCCTCCCGGCAGAGTAGCCGTTGAAGAGTGAGGTCATGGCCACCATTACTAGCATGGGTGTCAGACTGTTCCGTTCCCAATCTGCCTGAGATCTCAGGACACAAGAGTGTTTACCAAGCGATCATCTCTGTCCACGGTTTTACAGTTTTGATCCATTGTTGATTCTTGGGGGAAGAGTTCCTCTCTCTAGTGCCGGGTGATGCCAAAGCTTTCTGTCTGCATCCATTTGTAACGGGATCCGTGTGGGGGAAGCATGGTCCTCCTGGTGACAAGTGCCTAAGATGTCATAGTGGGGCAGCAGAGCTGTGTTGAGAGGGGCCGGATGGTTGTCAAGCACGGGCTTCGTGAAAATACTGCCACCCATTCTGCCGGCTGGGCTTCTCAGGTGACTAAAACTTCCCCCACAAGTCGTTTCCTCCCGACCCCCATCCCGAGCTAGCGCTGGGGTCTGAACCTTCCCTGACCCTACTTTCCTCAGGTCTAATGACTTACTGACCATCTCCTGAATACCTGCAAGAACTCTTGCCCAGGTCTTTCTCTAGCTGAACTTGGATTCCTCCTAACCAGGGCTTGACCCTGGGTGCTGCTGGTCCCAACGGCCAATGACGCATGTCTGTCCGCATTGGATTCTCACTGGATTTTATAGACATTCTCCCTCAGACTTTAAAATGTGGCCCTTGCTCCAAAGGGCTTGTGTCCTTTTCTACATGTCAAGTCAGATTGAAAACTATTTTATAGCCATAATATGTAATCCAAGTAAACAGAATATTTTCGGATGTATACTGGGTTTTATAATGTTGTGTAGGGTGTGCTGTGTGTGTATGTAGCCTGCTGAGGTAGCATCAATCCTTGCTCTGGGGGAATTTATACATCTTTTGCACTTTATGCTTGTTTTTGGTGATAACCACGGTTAATATTAAAGCCAACTGGCATTTTCTGTATATGTATCTATTTCTGAAATTATTTCTTGTTTCTTTAAACATTTTATTATCCGTGTGTGTGTGTGTGTGTGTGTGTGTGTGTGAGAGAGAGAGAGAGAGAGAGAGAGAGAAGTGTGTATGAGTGGCGGCCCCCACTGTGGAGATGATGTCTCCTTCCACCTTCACGTGGGTCCCAGGAGTCGAACTCAGGTAGCCAGACTTACGTGGCACACGCCTTTACCCACTGAGCCATCCTGATAACCCCTTCGATTGCTTGCCCTCCCATGTCTTTTTTCTTTCTTTTTCCCAAGACAGGGTTTCTCTGTATTGCTTTGGAGGCTGTCCTGGAACTCTCTCTGTAGATCCAGCTGGCCTCGAACTCACAGAGATCCGCCTGCCTCTGCCTCCCGAGTGCTGGGATTAAAGGTGTGCGCCACCACCCGGTGTCTTTAGACTTGTCTATGGTTAATTGGAAGAGACACTGGTGGCCCAGAGCCTTGGGGTGCCTGATGAAGCTAAGTCTTCTCTCTAGGGCATATGTGATTTCCTGGGGGAAGATGTCCCTAAGAGTCACTCCCCTTGATAACCACCTCTGTGGCAAGACTAAGCAAGGATCTGACTCCTTTCTGGTTCTGAGATTGGTCTCTTGATCCTGAAAATAGGACCTCCAGTCTCTTTTGAGTCTAGGTAGTGGGGACAGAGGCTGGGGGGGGTGTAGAAACTGGGGGGAGCATTTTGTGTTCAGAAAACAGTTCAGAGTGTATGTACCCCAGGATATCCTTGCAGTCTGCTTGTATGAGTCTGATGGAGACAGAAATCCTACAGGTTTCTCTGCCCTCTGTTTCAAAAGACCAGAGTTGGGGTCCAACTCCTCTCCTTAAGACACACATGTTAAGTGGTGCTAGGGGTGTAACTCAGGGCCTTGTATGTGCTAGGTGTGTAACCCAGGGTCTTTGTATGTGCTAGGTGTGTAACCCAGGGCCTTTGTATGTGCTAAGGGTGTAACCCAGGGCCTTGTATGTGCTAGGGGTGTAACCCAGGGCCTTGTATGTGCTAGGTGTGTAACCCAGGGTCTTGTATGTGCTAAGGGTGTAACCCAGGGTCTTTGTATGTACTAGGTGTGTAACCCAGGGTCTTGTATGTGCTAGGTGTGTAACCCAGGGCCTTGTATGTGCTAGGTGTGTAACCCAGGGCCTTGTATGTGCTAGGTGTGTAACCCAGGGTCTTGTATGTGCTAAGGGTGTAACCCAGGGTCTTTGTATGTACTAGGTGTGTAACCCAGGGCCTTGTATGTGCTAGGGGTGTAACCCAGGGCCTTGTATGTGCTAGGGGTGTAACCCAGGGTCTTTGTATGTGCTAGGTGTGTAACCCAGGGCCTTGTATGTGCTAGGTGTGTAACCCAGGGCCTTGTATGTGCTAGGTGTGTAACCCAGGGCCTTGTATGTGCTAAGGGTGTAACCCAGGGTCTTGTATGTGCTAGGGGTGTAACCCAGGGCCTTGTATGTGCTAGGTGTGTAACCCAGGGCCTTGTATGTGCTAAGGGTGTAACCCAGGGCCTTGTATGTGCTAGGTGTGTAACCCAGGGTCTTTGTATGTGCTAGGTGTGTAACCCAGGGTCTTGTATGTGCTAGGCAAGCATTCTGCCACAGAGCTACACCCCAGCCCCTGACTCTTCTTTTTTAGGGACATTTCATGACTTTCCATCGCAGTGGGGGATGGTGTTGCATGCCTGTGATCCTACTACCTGGGAGGCATAGGCAGAAGGATTACTGCAAGTTCTAGGCTAGCCAGGGCTACATGGTGAGATCTTTTTCTAGAAGGGGGAAAAATCAAGAGAAGAAGAAAAGGAAAAGAATTAAAACCTAAATATATGCATTACATTAAGGTGCCAATATGGGGGCCTGGTAAGAGGGCTCGATGGGTGAAGTGGCTGCTGCCAAGTCTGCAGACAGGTTCAGTCCCCAGGTTCCATGTGGTAAAGAAGACTCCCACCTGTTGTCCTCTGAGCTCATGCTCACACACCACACCACCACCACCACCACCACCACCACCACCACCACCCCTAAACAAATAACATGCAATTTAAAAGAGACTAGTAGGAGACCAAGCATTCTCAACAAAATGAGATCAATATGCCAGAAAGGCCCCTTGTTCCCAACTCCATTGCCGCACTGTGCACAATTGCCAAGACATAGAATTGACCGTTGTGTCCTCTGATGGGCGAATGAATGAAGACTGTGTGGTACATAAGTGTAGGGGAATGTTATTCAGCCATATACATGAACGATATCAACTTGTGTCAGTCGATGGAACTGGAGGATGTCATGTTAAGTGAAAAAAGCCAGATACATAAAGAAAGACAAATACTGCATGTTACTATATATAGAAGAAAACAAATAAACAAACAAACAAAACTGGCCGGGCAGTGGTGCTCACCTTTAATCCCAGAACTCTGGAGGCAGAAGCAGGCGGATCTCTATGAGTTCGAGGCCAGCCTGGTCTACAAGGCGAGTTCCAGGACAGCTGGGATTGTTACACACAGAAACCTGTCTCGAGAAAACAAAACAACAACGGCAATGGCAAAGGACATAGTACATTCAAAGACTTTCGAGGACTGGGGAGGGGCAGGCCGGGTTGTCCTGAACAAAGTGGAAACTTACTTTTCCCCAAGGCCTCTTTCCATGTTTACAGTTTGGATAGCATTTAATATAGGATGCAGTTTTAGATTTGTCACATATTCCACTGAGTTTCACTCACTCTCTCTCTCTCTCTCTCTCTCTCTCTCTCTCTCTCTCTCTCTCTCTCTCTCTCTCTCTGTCTCTGTCTCTCTGTCTCTCTGTCTCTGTCTCTGTCTCTCTGTCTCTCTTTCAGCACAGAGACAAGGAGGACAAGTATTTCCCAGGCTGCGCTACACAGCTAGAATGCCCTCAAGTGATCCTCCTGCCTCAGCCTCTACAGTAGCTGGAGCTGCTGCATCAGGCCTCTGCCACTCTTCAGGGTCCTGGCAGCTCCCTCCTGCTTTGCCTCAGGTGACGTTTTTGTCTCTGACTACCTCTGGTCAATGACACCCAGTGCACGTGTGAAAGTGACGGAAGATAGGACCAGGAGCACAAAATAAAGAAGAGAGGAAGAAAGGGAAAGAAAGAAAAGGAAGGAAAAAAAAAAGCAAGATGATATTGACGATATTTCCTAGCTATTCTGTGAACAAAGCAAATGAGCATAATCACTGGGCCAGTGGGTGGAGAGAAACTAATGGAGTTGTGGCGCCACCCTGTGACAATACGTGGTATTGCAACCACTGGTGCCAGCTTGTCTCTAAGTCTCAAAAGTCCGACAAAATTTGCAAGCTTTTTCAGGACACGTGTGTGTTGCCTCAGATGTTTTCAGCTGTTTCTCTGCCTTCATTCCCTCTTCTTCCCCTCAGAAACTCATTTTTCATGGTCTAAGGTGATGGATCTTGCTAGACTTTTAAAAATAAAGCAAATACATTCCTGCATGTACAACCAAGTTAATATAGATGTGGTCTGTTTTTATGATTTGTTTTTGTCTGTCTGTCTGTCTGTCTGTCTGTCTGTCTGTCTGTCTGTCATCCATGGATCTATCTACCTATCTGACATGGTCTCAGGTAGGTCAACCTGGCCTTAAACTCAATACTACTTCATGTAAATTCCAGGATGACCTGGAATTCCTGATCCTCCTGCCCCCACCTTCCAAGGCGGGGGATTATGTGTGTGCATCCTCTGGTTTAATGAGAGGGTTATTTGTTGTTGCTTATTTGTTTATAAAACTTATTTATTTTATGTGTGTGAGAATTTTGCCTCAATGTGTGCCCAGGGCCTTTGGGGGCCTGAAGAGGATGTCAGGACCCCAGAAACTGGAGTTACGGAGGGCTGTGAGCTCCCATGTGTATGTGTAGGGAGGGTCTCACATCAGAGAGAGTCACTGGTCAATATAAGAAAACAAAAAACTGGCCAGGCGTTGGTGGCGCACGCCTTTAATCCCAGCACTCGGGAGGCAGAGGCAGGTGGATCTCTGTGAGTTCAAGGCCAGCCTGGTCTACAAAGTGAGTTCCAGGACAGCCTCCAAAGCTACAGAGAAACCCTGTATCGAAAAACCAAAAAAAAAAAAAAAAAAAAAAAAAAAAAAGAAAACAAAACTGACAGAAACATGTAAAAAGGAGCGTGTACACACACACACACACACACACACACACACACACACACACACACACACACACTAAAACAACCAGGGGTGGCCTCTACACATTCATAGGCCTGAATGGGCAGAGGGATCCAGTGATGTCTCACAGGGATCTGGGCACCAGATGAGTAGCCATGTCTGACCTCTCCTCTGTGTCCAAACAGAAGGCGCCTCTGGAGGTGACAGACCAGGAGCCTTTCCAGTTTGTTTCCTTTTGGGGTGGAGGACTCAGATTTCTCCATAAGGCATCAACTGTCTTGGGGACCTGGAGCTCAGGTTGTGCCCTCTGAAGCTCCTTGAGCACGGCACCTTCCCTGATCTTAGGGGTTCTGAGACTCCTGGTGTCTGGAGGTCTTGCTCTGGGGGTCTCTGTGGATCTCCAGGAGTGTTGTGGGGTATTCACCAGGGAAGACTGCTTGGGTACGGGCCAATAGAAAGTCTGTATTAGGCTGATGTTGACTCACTGGGCGCTAGGGATCCCAGGTAGCACTGAGCTTTCCTTGGAGTGAGATTTTTAAGCACAAAAAATCATGTTATGGGTTGACATACTTCAGTCAACAAGAACAGTTAGCCAGAAGTGGAGCTACAGAAACCTAGTTGCAAGTTGAGTACATTTAGAGATTTTTCCAAGAACTATTGACTTTAACGGATTAAGTCTTTGTTTTCGTTTTTGGCAGGTGGTGCTGTCTGTGTGCTGAGTTTTACAGTCTGAATAGCACTTCCATCATGGAAGTCAGTTATCCTAAGGTCTGGGGCCCGTTACAATATGACTGACCATGGCCTGACAGACTTGGGTTTCCATGACTGTGCTCTGGAATACA